TCATACCCATCGAGTTCTCAGGGCACTACTGTCGAATTGCATATCTAACAAAATTTACAATTTGGCAGCTGATCTAGACTGTGTACAATCTATTATTCGTGTAGTACATAAACCAGTTTTAAAAATATGAATTTTCTTTTGAGTTTAGAAACTTCATATTCAACTCTTGAAAATTATGGCAATAAAGTATCCTTACTCATTAATAATAAACTTTTATTTGTTTCAGGGGTTTTAAATGAAATTGCCAAAAAGACTTTTCACTGCTATCTTCACTTTCTTACATAACATCAAAATTTTCGTTTGTTACCGGTTTTTTGTAGCTTTCACTATTCAACATCGAATCATTGTGGTTGAGCTCTGGGATAGACGAAAAATCAACGTACAACCTATCATAAGTGCATCGACTCAAGTTGCCATACTTGCTTCACAGTACTATACGAAGAACAAGGTAGAAAAAGAGTAGACGAATTTGTATAAGAGAATAGGTCATTTGGAAATGACAAATATTCAAGTTTTAGAAGACATTTAAGAGTGAATGCATCTGCGCCATTGTGACCGATTTTCAGCCATATCATCAAGAGTCATCAACCACTGATTCCTATCGTCTCCGAGACCCCAAACAGGCAATCTACATCTTACACGGCTCAGACCAACAGTTAGGGACTTCGTCGACTGGAGTCACGTCTTGGTCTGGCTACTCTGAGCCCTCTTCCAACCTAATCTGACTTCCCCTAGCATCCTACGTCGAGTTGGGAGAGGGGGGGTGGTTAGGCATGTGCAGTATGAATTCATATCATCTCAGTTGACCAAGTTTCACAACACCATCTGTCGACTTGTCTAGCAATGCTACGAAGACATGTATGATCGCTTCGTGACGGTGATGTTTCACATGCGACTTGCCAAGTCTTACAGGTTTGATACAACCTTCTCAACTTCAAGGAGAGTTGGGAGATCGACGTATACCTTACATTCAGGTTCAGACTGGATGGTCTGTAACTGAAGTGTCGCTGAAGGCTGTTTGGACTGTCCTTCAAAGTGTTCTAGCCGTCTACACTGAGAGGTTATTAGCGTCCCATTCTTTTTGGTGATGGTTTCACTAACCGTCACCTTCTTGCAGGTATCCTTAATAAGCCTAAATAGTTGCCAGGTGTTACCCAACTCTGGTGCCTTCTTCATCATTCTCGCTTTTGCCACCTTAGTGTTTGTGATCGACGCGAAGACTCCTGGCCAACTTACGTTTAAGTTGCTTTTGCTCTTCGTCGTGGTCAGAGCCAGCTCGCATTAAACAGTTCGGATAACGTCGCAGAAATAGAACGACATTTGCTAACCTTCAAGTGTAGGTTACCAACTGTCTTTGCTGTTGTTTCTACAGCAGTTTTAATATCACGCCAGGTTTTCTCGAGATGAACATTGTTGTCCAGTTGAGGTAAATGTTTAGTTATTTCTTGTCTTGACTTGGCGTCCGCATCTTCAAATTGAGAATAGACAGGCTTTACTGTTTTCTGCGACCAGTAAGGTGCGGACGTACACGAACCCATACTAGCTCCTGATCGGAATCCAAACAGGTACTCCAGAAAGAGTGGCAATCCTCCAGTGATGACTTATGGCAGTGTGATCTGTCGTTGTCTTGAAGTTGGACGCCATATAAAGCAGTATCTCTACTTCATGCCTAAAGTTATTGCTGGCCAGAAACAAGTGATTGTCGGAGCAAAATTGCAACAGACGATCACCGTTGTCGGTTCGTTAGCATGGGATTTCGTAAATATCTTAAAGATGCCGTTCCGACTGGTTCAGCTTCCCTACTTGAGTGTTAAAGTCACCTGTAATTATGACTTTCTAAACGTTTTGCTTTTTGTAGCAAAGTCGGCAGCTTCCTCTTTCCCATCATCTGCACTGTAGGCGGAGATTATAAAAATAGGCATCGTCTAGTCTCACGATCCTTTCTAGTTATTACAGATCCCTTCAGTCGAACCGCACGTAGACAGATGTTGACTGGTATCCAGTCGAGGAGCGAGCTTCCTGCTCTACAACTTAATGCTTTGTCTACGCTGGCGAGTCCATGAGAACTAGCCACTGAGTCTCCGGATACTCGTAAGGAGAATTTTGAAGATTCACTACTATGGCTAGGTGAGGTCAATACAATAACCACGCTCTAGTCCTATATGTCTGCCTTAGAGATACAGCACACATCCATAACAAGAGAATACAGAGTTTTGGCGAGTGATGCTCGCTGTTCGATTTAGGAAAGTTCTGACGTTGAAAGCTCCCACATGAAGCCAGTGACGGGTCGTTGAAAATGGTTGCAGAGCGAGAGGTTAGGCAAGGGGTAAGAGACTTAATATTAGTATGAAGAGGATAGATTACGTTTGATTGGGTCTTGTTGTATTGGTGGAAGCCTGCGGGCACTTCGCGGCTGTCTACATCGTGGAGAGCTACTTCTTATTGAGATACCTGAAAGAGAAAAATATTTGTTACCACAGAGCCTATGGGGAATCTGTCATACGGCTTTTTTTAGATGTTTTAACGCCAGGTAGAGAGTCCATAACACCGGCACCGGAAGACCGTGGGGCATGGTGGAGTGTTATCGTTGCGGCTGACTTTTCCTTCTGTTAAGAAGGCAGCATCAGTGCGGCGCTGCTGTTGATCCTAGGGGAACACCTTACTGCTGTGAAATACCATCCTGCTGGCAGCAGTACGACTTCATCCTGAGACCCCCCCCCCATCGTAGTGCAGTAATTTACGCTACACTGGTAACTACTTTTCGTCTTACCACTTTCCAATAGACCTTTCTGGCATGGTACGAACAAGCGTCGGGTCATTGTGATATGTAAGCTCGACCACCTCGTCAAGGTAGGTATCAGTCGGGTGTTTCGACTAAGCCCTTTTCCAAAATGCACTGAACTTACTGTTGCCTCCTATACAAATCTTATCTTGAAAAAATTGTTTGTTTATAGCACTGCTGAACATCTTGCTTAAGGACATTAAGTAAACATATGACAAGCAGTTCTCCTGTTGTACAGTAGTCCTATAAGTTTGTGACAGCAGGAAAATACATAGGGTATTATGAAAATAGGATTGTAATTACGTAATGCATGTCTATGACAGAGTAGAAAAATGAGTAAGGTATACATGTGTAGTTACCTGATACAAAATGAATCTGGCAGATAGGGCTCTATGATGGCCATGGCAAAGATAAAGGTTGGACGTACCCTTTTTACACGCATAACGCTGGTTTGAACTTCTGGATGGCTAGTGTTTCAGCCATAGACAGATGCTTTGATTTCACTCCCTTCGAGTGGTTTGAAGCACTAGCCATTCAGAAGTTCAAACCAGCGTTATGCGTGCAAAAAAGATACGTCCAACCTTTATCTTTGCCATGGCCATCCTAAATCCCCCTGTCTGCCACAGACGCATTTTGTATCAGGTAATTACACGTGTATACCTTATTCATTTTCCTACTCTGTAATAGATTTAACCTGCATTACGTAATTGCAATCTTATTTTCATAATATCCTATAAGTTTGATTGTTATGGATTTGGTATAGTGATATGCTGTTACTATAAGCCACCTGCAGGATAGATCAGCAGTTTGTGATTTCATAGACTGGTTACAGCATGTTCGGTCATTTCTTACGCTTTTTAGAAACTAAGCAGCTAACATTATCATAAAATACCATAGATCTAAGCAGGTGCTAGTTCCCAACTGCATCGAATCAATACAATACCTCAAGCCTAATTTATACGGCGCGGTCCCACCATACGTTGGCATGGCTTCCAAAACATGGCTGAAACCTCCGAAATGACACTACCTAAAATAAGTGAGGGTTCTAACGTGTCCGGTCGCTTCTTTGTGGATCTATAAACAAAGCACCGGTGATGAAAAATGCGGTGAAATCACCTTATACATATCAAGTATGCTTATACCTAGGATAATGTTAAAATCTTTGTGTCCGCTCCGCACTCCCAACCAACCGAAGTTCAGTTACCCCGGTGATCAATAACTGAGAAGTCGGTAATGGATGGAGCCCCAACAATTCTTCAGATCGATGTGATAGGGATTGGCCTGAGCACTTAGATCGAATGGATGCAAGCATTCGAAACGAAGAGATAACTCGCACTTTGATCTCATGTTTGCCCTACTTTAAAAACAATGAACAACTTAGGTAGGTCTGTTTTTTATTCGGCGCAAGGTTTTGATAACGAGAGCCCTATTAAAGTTTGCAAGAACGCTATGTTAAGGCTGCAACAGCTAACAGTGCTTGTAAAGCAATAAGTCGAGTGATTGGCGACTGATACATATGGAAACAGGATTGGCAATAGTCAAGAAGGATGTGTGCTATTGGTATACCAGAAAACAGCCCAATGCTATCATTTCCTATCAGCGCTATTCATACTGTGGTGAATGATACTCGTAAGAATGCATATGGTGAGACATCGGTGTAAATCACGGATGCCAATTGTTGTCGTCCGAGAAGTTGGACTGAAGGCGAAGGAGAACGCAGCGAGAAAAGGAATGACGCTTACAAAAAACACTGATTGGAAGGTTCGAAATATTTTAATAACACTGATTACTTTATAAACAATTTTCTACTGTAATCAACAGTGCCGCTTTCATCCGAACAACTACTCATTTTACGTTAAGTATTTGACTGACGCTATACACACATTACCAGGGTAGTACCTACCAGTTAAGAAACAGACACTAAAAAACAAACTTTTCTTTTTAAAAAGATACTTTAAAGTATAGGCTGCGTATTAGAAATTCAAAAACTTTGAGTAGAGCCTTCAAAGTAGACAACAAAAAAATAACTGCGTATTAACGTTTTCTAGTTTTTCAAGTAGGGTAAACAGACGTGAAGCAAAAGGCACTTTGTGAACAAACAAGTTATAGAATAAAACATAGTAACAAGCACGAGAAAAGATGTTTGTAGCATTAGGATAGTTATCTCTAAAAGTATAAATCAGGTTTGGAGCTTTTTCAAAACGAAACCAAATCCACTTTAGTCTAGATGTAGGGGTGGTTGTTGTTCCGGAATAATTGAAGAAATTAATGCTGAAAAGAATTGATAGGATGTGTTGGCTACCGACCGCAAATTAGTTGTTATCCTTGTAAGTCTTGGTTCTTGCTCAAAGGGTAAATCAGTACGCAATTGAGACTCTGAAGAAGTAGACTCCTGAGAAACATGATTTTGTTGATTATCTGATTCAGCATGCTCACTGCCCTGCTTAGAAAAAATGAGAAACAGCTGATTTGTATTGAAATATGTATTGTAGGTTCAATCTTCGGGCATAAAATCTGACTGCATGAACAAATGAGATAATACCTACACATCTCCACAAAAATTGATTTTTAGCCTTATCGTTTTCACCTTTCTTCTATTTTCATTACTTTCTTACCACAACTGATTCCTTGGCAACATCGGGCTTTCCTCCTTTGACGTGTTGATATGAAGTGTACCAACTTTAACCGCTACAAAATAATCCCAGGGACCATTTTTCGTATTTATTGACTGCAATGACACCAGGCTTCAGTATGGTCTCCTGACCCCTTCTACAGCCCTCATCTACTTAAGCTAATATTGAGCGACAGGACAAACTGCGACTAAACATGTGCAAGGCAAGCCACACTACTATTACTATTTCTAGTAATAGTAGTAGCCAGTTTCTTGTTTAAATTGTATACTATAATCGTTTTTCTTATCTCCGAAATTTAATATTTTCATTTGATAATATTTCATCAAAGCTAGACGAACCATCTGGATTCCACCGCTAGCCACTGCCCATCATTACTATAAAAAGTAAAGGGTTGATGCATCTGAGCCGACCATCAGTCCTCCAGTCACATAGCGACCAAGTCTTTAGTCTTTGACCCAAAAAATCCCAAGGATTTCAGTTAGGCAATATACACCTCATTGCCCCATACAGACGGAAAGTCGGAGACATCGACGATGAGTGATGTTCTAACGTAAAGATGCTAAGAATTTCAACCCAACTCGACTTCAACCAATATTTAATATCGAGATGAGGGGTTTTGCAGAGGTCGTTAAGTATATCCAGACCTTATCAGTTGACCTAACTCCTTTACTTATCACTCTACTGTTTAATCTGTGCATTGATCATGTGATGATTGTATAATATACCTAGTGAATTTTCTAGAGCATCCTTTAGTGTAGAACGCGTATGATAGGTTATGCCAACAATTACATTTGGGGTGATAGGAAAATGTAAATTGTCCCAGGACTTACTCGATGACTTGAACTGCCTTGTTCAACTTGAAGGTCCTGTTGTGGTTGACGTGCTTGTACGACACGCTCTACAACAGCGTATCTTCGATAAATATTATATCTACAAAACACCAATTAGTATAAGTGATCTGTTTAGGTCTTGAGGCAATATTATATTTGTTAAGTGATATTAATATCGCAATAACCTGTTTATTGCAAAACATGATAAGGTAAAAGGATTCGAATGCGCTTAGTACTCACTAGTCATCAAAAGCTAGACTTCTAATGCTTATGATTCAGCTTTTAGGGCTTGAAAATAAACTGCTATAAACTCGACATAAATGCAGGAAAATTTCTGCATGCACTACAAGTGACTAGTTCCACCGAGTTCATTTAGAATTAAAAGTCTAAGTAAACAATATCAACTCTTACAACCGAATCCACTAAAAATCAATTCTTATTCGTCACACACTACAAAGAAACTAGACT